CCCCTGGACCCGATGGAATTGTTCCCAAAATTATTAAAAGATTGAATTCCTCTCTTAAATTACCCCCTCATGATCTTTATTTAATAAAACAATAGAAACAGGAGTGATTCCCAATAGCTGGAAACAAGCAAATATAAATGCAGTTGATCAGGGTAATGGATCATCTAATGATGTTTTAAACTACATACCTATTTCAGTAACTTCATGCCTTAGTGAAATAATGGAAAAAATTGTGTTTAAATATCTTTATAACTACCTGTTGGAAAATTATATAATCACTAAGCACCAATCAGGATTTAAACCTGGTGGTATAAACATAAACAAATAATGATGTATAAAGATAATGCATGGACTCTCACCTCAATACTTACAAAATGTCACAAATCCTTTTATTAACAATCATAATAACAATCCCTACTCTCTTAGACAAACCAGACACTTTAACCCACCTATGTGTAGAACTAATAACTATTTTGACAGTTTTTTCCCCTTTATGTGCCGCGATGTCCAAAATACACACACATACACTACGCGCATGCATCTTGCACACAGGGGAGGCCGTCCTTAAATGACCTTAGCTGTTAATAGGACGTTAAACAAAATCAAACAAACAAACAAACAAAATCAATACTATGGATACTGATATGTTGAACTCTCTATCTCTTGCTCTGTTTTAAAAATTACAAAATAAAGATAAAGTTAAGGACAGAGAAGTAACTTCAATTTTTAAAAACGACGTTGAAAGAATGATTAATATTATTCTTTGCCAATTAAGAAATTCCTGTAGTAATTTAAATTCTGATTTATATCGGGACCATTTAACAGATACTCCAACTTATGGTTGTTCTTTTGAATATGAAACAGCCTCTCATTATTTCCTCAGTTGTCCACTGTATATCGAACAACGAAATACTTTGTTTACTTCTTTGAATATTATTAGTAATCATAACCACATGGATTTAAATATATTTTTTCAAGGTTGTCCTACATGTGATCTGAATATAAAACAGACAGATGCTAAGTCATATTCAGATTTTTATTGGAAAAACTAGGCGTTTTAATTTTTATATGACATAGAAAGCCATGATGTATTATCTAGATAGAATTGTTAATGGAATAACAAAGTATAAACTTTTTGATGCATAATGATAAATGAGATTACAGTTGAGTAGGTTTTTTTTGTTATATCTTGTTCATAATATTATATTGCCTTTCTGTCACATTATTTAAATTTGTACTTTTTAGGTCACCTGAGCTTTAGCTCAAGTGACCTATTGCTATCCGTTTTCGTCCGTCGTCGTCCGTCGTCCGTCGTCCGTTAACATTTTACATTTCAAACTTAAAGTCAAGTTCTGCTGGGCCGATTGAACTGAAAGTTGGTAGGAATGATCGCCTCATGGTCCTGACAAAGTGTTGTTATTTTTCGGGTCAATCAGAAATACAATTTGGCTGCCATGGCCGCTATTTTGCTACTAAGTTCTAATAGGCCGATCTCACTTAAAATTGGTCTAGGAATGATCAGCTCATGGTCCTGACAAAGTTAAGTTAACATTATACTATTTTTTACTCAAATTGGTACATATTTCAACAACAAAAATAAATACTGTAGACTCAGGTGACCCATGGGCCTCTTGTTACTCATACACAGTATTAGTAGCAATGACCTGTGCACATAAATGCACATGGACTTTTGGTCAAAGTCTACTCTTACTGTACATATGATATACTGACTGTGACTATTTAATAATAAAATAATTGTATGTGTGTGGGATGTATGATTGTAAGTTATTTGTGTATTGTTATTGTGATGTCCTATGATGAGTTTATCCCCTTTGTGTTTGTCATGTTGGAGTTATCTCTCCTTATCCTTTAATTAGTATTACTCTTTATAATTTTTCATTTCAAAGTATCCTTAAATCAATTAATCATTATTGTTGTAACTACATTGTATATATGATCACATTGTGAGCCACTCATGGAAAGAATTTATATAGGCTTGTCTGTTATTCAATCCATTTGACCATAACATCTGTCAATAAAATTTGTTGAAATAAAATTACCTCCAGAGAAGGACAGAACACTCCAAACCCAAGAGGTAAGATCCTTGAATGTTTCGATCGAGGCCTTCCATGCCGTACACATGACATACAAATAAAACCTCTAAGGCTGAGTTTTACCCCTAAAATAGGGGATGATAGTTTTTCTCCTCTTAATGACTACGCAATGTTCATGTCTCTCTATGAAAACGACGTATAAATATTTGTGACTAGGATGCGGAAGGCAATGTTATTGCACAAACATTCCCGTCGACAAATTAAGACATTAATATAAAATAGATTCTTCAACAACAATAACAACAAATTATTAGTGCTATGTCTTACTCAACATGTTTACGAATTCTGGTCCAATTCATGTAATTAATCTACACTGGTCTGCACAGAGAAATGTCGACCTTACAAATGGAGGATAAATCTGCCCAAGAGATGAAAAAAACCGAACTATTCAAATAATAAAAAATGGTCTCGTATATCTGATATTATGAAGAAAATTCCAAGCGTAAAAGTAACGGATATGTCGTGCATCATTACACATACCGTTCGCGTGAACCACTCTGTGAGAAATGTTAGCTGCGGAAAAAACAGATTCTTTATTAATTGGAATTCTGTGTATACGTACCGTTGTCTTATATAACGTGATTCTCCCTTTTCATCTGTACGTGCGCATTTGGTACCATCGCGGATTGTTGATGGAATGGGCGGTTATTTATGTTCCGGGTTATCCTTTTCTTTATATACATGTACCATAGCGTTTATGTTATCTTTACTTAAAGGTGAACTGGTACCTTCTCTGATTCTGTGTAAGGAACCGTATCTAACTTCATTGGTGTAAACACACATTGAGTTGATGCTTAGATAGTTGAGTTAAAGATAGTTAGAGGGAGAAAAAAACTAGAAGTCTCTGGATTCAAATTAAACACCTTAATGAATCACTCACACGAATACTCTTGCACACCAAATAATACTTTCTCGACATTTCACAAAAAAGCAATCAAAATACAAAATGAAAAGCAAATACCCTTTTAGATGCAATGTGTTGTTAAAGCAGTATTAGATGATACTTTCATGAATAGGGGATTCTAAGATTTTCCGATTCATATGTGACAAATCATTTCGATCAAGCTACGCTGTTCCAGATAAAAATAAAGTCAGAACACTTTTCATACATAACGGAAACCATCGGTATTATATTTATCACATTGCCGAAAGTGTATGTGAATATTTGTCTACATCTTTTATTCTTATTTTCATTTGCTATATCTATTATCCGGAATACGACCTAGTTATAGTGCAAATGCTTCATGTCAATTGTGGTAATAATATTGACACTATGTGTGGTATTCTACGATATATTACAACAAAGATACAGCTCGGTAAGGTTGTTATTGCTGTTGTTGTGTATTTGTATCACAAAGTAAAGCAGGCCCTTTTACTGACACCTCTCTGTAGTTATACAGTCCTACAGCCATATTGGTTGTCGATACAGTCCTACAGCCATATTGGTTGTCGATATCTATTTAAATGTAGCTGCTGACATTTTACCTGTAGATTGTTGTAAAACAACCTGATAACTGACCCCTGTAGACATGATAGGTTTGGTTTGGTTATATTTTGTTTAACGTCCTATTAACAGCTAAGGTCATTAAAGATATGTCTCCCTCCATGTGCATTGTGTATGCGTGCATGTGTTTGTGTGCCGGAGACAGGGTATGTTTGTGTACCTGACTCTTTGTTATAGCACGGCTCTGATACGATCTTTAGAGTGCTATCTCACTGAAATGCCATGCCGAAGGCATCTAGCATATCATTACGCCCGGTCACATTATATAGTGATACTTGAGTCTTACCCATTACGATATTGTCTGTTGAAATAATGTAGTTATAAGCGGTACTAAATATATATTTTACAGTTCCTCTAGTTGTATCAGTATTGTAAGACATTGTCAGATCTAGATTTATCTATATCATGAATATATGCGATTGTGCACTGAAGGGATCTGTAAGCCATCGAGCTTCACGATACAACAAACAATCGCAAACGTATGAATGAGTTTGTATAATTAAGGATTCATTTTACAGCGTTACAGCATCTTTCGTTCTCTTTGAAATAGCAAGTATGTCACTCCAGAAGGTTGAAATACGTGAATACGAGTCCGACATATTAATAATTAGACAGTAATTAGGCTTACAGTAATTAGCACTTGGAGTTATGTATTCGAATGTAGATAATTTCTATAATATAGTATAAATGTTGCACCTATATAATATGATAACTAGTAATCTCTAATGGAGAGATAGGTCAGAAAAAGTCGGTTCTTGTAGGATCGATCATCGTATGCAATATCATACAAAAGAACACTGATTCTATATGAATAATCCCTTAATAACAAATTATTTGAAGTGTAAAGATAAAAGCAAACAAAATGTTTTACATCGCTAAATACCACGGCTGATATGATGAACACATCATAATCAGTAGATATCTTCATTAACAATGTGTTACGATCAATATCCGTTTTCATTTATCTTATGTTTACCGCGTTTGGAAGTAATTGACACGTTTTATTATCTCTATGATTAAACAAAACCTCACCGGGGGATTATTTTCATTGCAATAAAGGCCGGATTTAGTGATATATTTATATTTCTACGGTATATTTACCTACTGGGTATTGTTAGGTCGCATCAGTAACAGAGAGAAGGCCAGAAGAATGGATCAATGAATACAATAGATAAATTGTCATACCTTTTATCAACCTAGTATTATATACACAACGCAAGGCCTAGTTTACTTTGTGTATTTGATAAAGCCAGTCGGGAATACATTAAGTGATATACTTGAGATGCTTTTACGTACTAGATATTTACAATCCGTGTCATTTACAGCTTCATCGCATAGCCCCTATAAAAAAACCGCTAAAGAGCACTGAAGGAACGGCTTACCAAAACGAATTCCTCCATTGTCAGAGCCTTTAGCGTTTTGTTTCCTTCTCCATATTCAGACACATTATACTTGCTCCCAATGTCACGCAGGACACTCTGTATATACGTCTGTATGTTCTGAAAATATAAAGTGTTTATCTATTTGGAAAAATCTTAATTAACTTTTGCCATTTTCGTGGTGATTGTCATGCCGCATAAAGAATACATTGTCTGAGGATTATTACAGAACACAGTTTTATTTCAAAAGCAAACCCACGAGAAATTATTCTATAAAATTAGATTTTACTTCGACCGCCCTTGGAATTTTGAATCCAAGGTTTGGATACAAAGTGATTAGTTTCGGATGTGATGATATTCATGGGAACAGGTGAAAATTTACATTTGTTTGTGTTGATAAGTTAAGTTTCGCGTTTCTTTATTTTAGTTAGCCCTATACAAAACTTACTTCTCCGTTGAAAAGAGACTTCTTGACTATACTGTCCGGTACGACAATGACCACTACGTTGTCCAGGTTTGTACCTAGATTAGTTAACTGATCGGATGCAGTATGGTCACCAAACGTAACGATCAACCACCGAGTCATGTGTCTCATAGCGTAGCGGTGGACTTCCAAGCGTGCTATAGAAAAAGGCTAGAAGGAAAACGAGAGAAATTTACCTGTAACATCATCCAAGTGAACACAAGGCTAGCATGATAGTTTCATTTTATCAATATGGCTTACAGATGTTGAGCCAGGACCGTACAGACATGAATTAACTGCACTCGCTTTGATTTAATGCGAGAAGCTCCTGCTCTAAACATTCGCGATAGGCCATTATTTGCCAATATATATATTTTCATATATAAGTGTATTATTCAAACAATTTTGTTTAGAATAATTTGCTAGGCAAGAAGAATGCAAATCAATCTGCAATCATGACATGTTTAAAGGTCGTAAAAAAGTCACGACTGACAAGTCCTAAATGTATGTACGAAATGACCACCTGATTGCTTGCCCCCTCGAGACTTTTGCATCGCTTCAATACATTCACGAATTGATTCCTCGTTACTTCATATTCTCATATATTTTTTTTAAATGTTGTCTTTATAGATAGAGTGACATAACTTGCGAGAAAATGCATAGCTAAATCAGGGTTACCTACATAGACCTTAGACCTTAATACACCCTCAAATATTCATGAACTCTCTTGACAATAAAATATATTTGTATCCAATTTGTTAACTCACCCTTTTTAATATAGTTCTGACACATTCCATGCTACATACTAAAGTAATATTTGGCATTTCTCGTATGGCATAATCCATCATAGACAGGAATTCTTGTTCAAACTGAGGGGACTGGATATCTGGTATCATACCGTCAACAATCGACACACCAGCCGCAGACAGACCGTGCACAAGATCATCTAGATGTGCCCCTTATAAAACAAAATTGATATAATTGTCATCAATTTATAAATTCGTTCAAGTGGTTGCTTAATATTTCCATAATTATTAAAGGAAAGTGGTTTATATAGTTTTTAGGTCACCCGATTTTTTTTAATTTTTTTTTTGTTTGATTTTGTTTAACGTCCTATTAACAGCTAAGGTCATTTAAGGACGGCCTCCCCTGTGTGCAAGATGCATGCGTGTAGTGTATGTGTGTGTATTTTGGGAGGCTGCGATATGTTCGTGTTTATCTCCTTGTGATAGCGCGGAACTGATGCCGACTTTATAGTGCTACCTCACTGAAACATACTGCCGAAGACACCCAGCAGGACGCCCCACCCGGTCACATTATACTGACAACGGGCGAACCAGTCGTCCCACTCCTAATTTGCTGAGCGTTAAGCAGGAGTATAAACTACCAATTTTAAAGACTTTGGTATGTCTCGGCCAGGGGACAGAACCCAAAGCCTTCCTCACAGGGGCGAACCCGAGACAAAGTCTCAAGTGACCTATTGCGATCGCCTTTTGTCCGTCGTCGTTCGTAAACAATTTACATTTTTGACTTCTTCTCCAAAACCCCTAAACCAATTTCAATGAAATTTTGCAAAAACCTTCCATGGACAAAAAGTCAACAAAAATAGAGGCCGGTTTGGTTCCCAACCCCCAGGANTCTTTAGAGTGCTATCTCACTGAAATGCCATGCCGAAGGCATCTAGCATATCATTACGCCCGGTCACATTATATAGTGATACTTGAGTCTTACCCATTACGATATTGTCTGTTGAAATAATGTAGTTATAAGCGGTACTAAATATATATTTTACAGTTCCTCTAGTTGTATCAGTATTGTAAGACATTGTCAGATCTAGATTTATCTATATCATGAATATATGCGATTGTGCACTGAAGGGATCTGTAAGCCATCGAGCTTCACGATACAACAAACAATCGCAAACGTATGAATGAGTTTGTATAATTAAGGATTCATTTTACAGCGTTACAGCATCTTTCGTTCTCTTTGAAATAGCAAGTATGTCACTCCAGAAGGTTGAAATACGTGAATACGAGTCCGACATATTAATAATTAGACAGTAATTAGGCTTACAGTAATTAGCACTTGGAGTTATGTATTCGAATGTAGATAATTTCTATAATATAGTATAAATGTTGCACCTATATAATATGATAACTAGTAATCTCTAATGGAGAGATAGGTCAGAAAAAGTCGGTTCTTGTAGGATCGATCATCGTATGCAATATCATACAAAAGAACACTGATTCTATATGAATAATCCCTTAATAACAAATTATTTGAAGTGTAAAGATAAAAGCAAACAAAATGTTTTACATCGCTAAATACCACGGCTGATATGATGAACACATCATAATCAGTAGATATCTTCATTAACAATGTGTTACGATCAATATCCGTTTTCATTTATCTTATGTTTACCGCGTTTGGAAGTAATTGACACGTTTTATTATCTCTATGATTAAACAAAACCTCACCGGGGGATTATTTTCATTGCAATAAAGGCCGGATTTAGTGATATATTTATATTTCTACGGTATATTTACCTACTGGGTATTGTTAGGTCGCATCAGTAACAGAGAGAAGGCCAGAAGAATGGATCAATGAATACAATAGATAAATTGTCATACCTTTTATCAACCTAGTATTATATACACAACGCAAGGCCTAGTTTACTTTGTGTATTTGATAAAGCCAGTCGGGAATACATTAAGTGATATACTTGAGATGCTTTTACGTACTAGATATTTACAATCCGTGTCATTTACAGCTTCATCGCATAGCCCCTATAAAAAAACCGCTAAAGAGCACTGAAGGAACGGCTTACCAAAACGAATTCCTCCATTGTCAGAGCCTTTAGCGTTTTGTTTCCTTCTCCATATTCAGACACATTATACTTGCTCCCAATGTCACGCAGGACACTCTGTATATACGTCTGTATGTTCTGAAAATATAAAGTGTTTATCTATTTGGAAAAATCTTAATTAACTTTTGCCATTTTCGTGGTGATTGTCATGCCGCATAAAGAATACATTGTCTGAGGATTATTACAGAACACAGTTTTATTTCAAAAGCAAACCCACGAGAAATTATTCTATAAAATTAGATTTTACTTCGACCGCCCTTGGAATTTTGAATCCAAGGTTTGGATACAAAGTGATTAGTTTCGGATGTGATGATATTCATGGGAACAGGTGAAAATTTACATTTGTTTGTGTTGATAAGTTAAGTTTCGCGTTTCTTTATTTTAGTTAGCCCTATACAAAACTTACTTCTCCGTTGAAAAGAGACTTCTTGACTATACTGTCCGGTACGACAATGACCACTACGTTGTCCAGGTTTGTACCTAGATTAGTTAACTGATCGGATGCAGTATGGTCACCAAACGTAACGATCAACCACCGAGTCATGTGTCTCATAGCGTAGCGGTGGACTTCCAAGCGTGCTATAGAAAAAGGCTAGAAGGAAAACGAGAGAAATTTACCTGTAACATCATCCAAGTGAACACAAGGCTAGCATGATAGTTTCATTTTATCAATATGGCTTACAGATGTTGAGCCAGGACCGTACAGACATGAATTAACTGCACTCGCTTTGATTTAATGCGAGAAGCTCCTGCTCTAAACATTCGCGATAGGCCATTATTTGCCAATATATATATTTTCATATATAAGTGTATTATTCAAACAATTTTGTTTAGAATAATTTGCTAGGCAAGGAGAATGCAAATCAATCTGCAATCATGACATGTTTAAAGGTCGTAAAAAAGTCACGACTGACAAGTCCTAAATGTATGTACGAAATGACCACCTGATTGCTTGCCCCCTCGAGACTTTTGCATCGCTTCAATACATTCACGAATTGATTCCTCGTTACTTCATATTCTCATATTTTTTTTTTAAATGTTGTCTTTATAGATAGAGTGACATAACTTGCGAGAAAATGCATAGCTAAATCAGGGTTACCTACATAGACCTTAGACCTTAATACACCCTCAAATATTCATGAACTCTCTTGACAATAAAATATATTTGTATCCAATTTGTTAACTCACCCTTTTTAATATAGTTCTGACACATTCCATGCTACATACTAAAGTAATATTTGGCATTTCTCGTATGGCATAATCCATCATAGACAGGAATTCTTGTTCAAACTGAGGGGACTGGATATCTGGTATCATACCGTCAACAATCGACACACCAGCCGCAGACAGACCGTGCACAAGATCATCTAGATGTGCCCCTTATAAAACAAAATTGATATAATTGTCATCAATTTATAAATTCGTTCAAGTGGTTGCTTAATATTTCCATAATTATTAAAGGAAAGTGGTTTATATAGTTTTTAGGTCACCCGATTTTTTTTAATTTTTTTTTTGTTTGATTTTGTTTAACGTCCTATTAACAGCTAAGGTCATTTAAGGACGGCCTCCCCTGTGTGCAAGATGCATGCGTGTAGTGTATGTGTGTGTATTTTGGGAGGCTGCGATATGTTCGTGTTTGTCTCCTTGTGATAGCGCGGAACTGATGCCGACTTTATAGTGCTACCTCACTGAAACATACTGCCGAAGACACCCAGCAGGACGCCCCACCCGGTCACATTATACTGACAACGGGCGAACCAGTCGTCCCACTCCTAATTTGCTGAGCGTTAAGCAGGAGTATAAACTACCAATTTTAAAGACTTTGGTATGTCTCGGCCAGGGGACAGAACCCAAAGCCTTCCTCACAGGGGCGAACCTGAGACAAAGTCTCAAGTGACCTATTGCGATCGCCTTTTGTCCGTCGTCGTTCGTAAACAATTTACATTTTTGACTTCTTCTCCAAAACCCCTAAACCAATTTCAATGAAATTTTGCAAAAACCTTCCATGGACAAAAAGTCAACAAAAATAGAGGCCGGTTTGGTTCCCAACCCCCAGGAGCCCGAGGGGCGGGGCCAAAAAGGGTCAAATTGACTAAAATTTCAAAAATCTTCTTCTGAAGACCCAGATATGGTAGAATCAAATACTCTTCATAGATGGAAGGGTCTAAAGGTGCTTTACTAAAATTGTGAATTTCTTGACCCTGGGGAGGGGGTAAACTTTACTATAGTTCATATAGGGAAATCACATTTTGGACCAACATTTGTTTAATTTCGATCGGAAGCAATTCAATTTAGGTTAGCATTATCAGTATAAGGTAGCAGTTTGATAGTATGCACATATAATCCCTGACTGACCCCCAGGGGCTGATGGGCGGACGGGGCCAATATATAGGAAAATCCCATTTTGGACCACCATTTGTTTAATTTCGGAAGTAATTCAATTTAGGTTAGCATTATCAGTATTGGATAGCAGTTTGATGGTATGCACATATCAGCCCTGACTGACCCCCCGGGGCTGATGGATGAGGCAAAAAGGGGTTGAATTGACTGAAATTTCAAAAATCTTCTTCTCAAATCAAACACTCTTCATAGATGGTCTTGTTTATGACCCTAGGTCTCACGTTTACCCCCTGGGGAAGGAGCGGGGGATTTATTATGGTTTATAATGGCAAATGATACTTTGAATATTACATGTTAATAACTTGATTGGAATTATAACCCTGAGTTGACTGTTTGATACTTTGAAAATTTTAAGCCAGCCCTACCCACAAGGGCTGGAGGGTGGGGCCCAAAGGCGTCAGTGTGCTAAAATGTCTTCATTTTCCTTGTTTAGAATCAGAGGTGCTAGTTTCAAATACTTTTTAGTCTTAAATTTGTAAGCCAGATATTGAATAAGGTGGTTTTATTTTTTTTTTGTCACTTTGAATAATATTTTTGTTCATGATAAATCAAAATCAACTTTCTGTATCAATATATCAAGTGACCGTTAAGACCCATGGGCCTCTTGTTTAAAATCCACAGTTAAATTTTGTAGTCTGAGTGTACTCAAAATTCTGCACTTGGGCCATGCTGTAATAAACTCATGTAACGTGTTCTTCTAGGAAAAATAAAACACTGGACTTATGCAATGTTATTGTGTAATATTATACCATATAATTGTGTTTTTTGAATCACAGAAACGTTGCATGTTCTTTACAAACTGTACGTTTATGAATGCTTTTAAATTGATGTTACGTTTGTAATAACCTTAAACATGATATCATGCAAGAATCCCTTGGCGTCAAACAAATGACAATTATGACATTTTCTGCAGTTGACAACCTGTCAAAAATGTTGACAACCCATAAACGACAAATGAGACAGTCAGTGCACAAGGAGGAAATTATTCGATAGAAAGCTTTAACAAAAAGGTATTTGCTATCTGTATCTGTTTTTAATTTATCTTATGATATATGCCTGGACTAAAAATTGCAATGAACTCATGTTACGTAAATCAATAATGAGTTTTTTTATTGTCTTCATGCCAAATAAGGAAAGAAATGACTGGTTGAGTTTCTAACCATTTCTACCATGAGAGAAAAAAATGCACCGCCCAGCACCTTTAACTGTGACGTCTTAAAGCTTTATAAAGATAAGGACTATGCCATGGATTCAACCTTTGTATTGTGCAGATAAAGCATGAAGATGAATATGGTGGAAACAGTAAACACACGTTTCTAATTAAAATCGTTTAATAATATCAGGTATATCAATATCAATTGTATAGCAAAGAACAAGAAAAATGCAACCGCATAGACGTCCTGTTGAAAACAGAAATTACAGTTTCAACCAAACCTATGTATTGGGTGTAAGTTATGCTACCTTTGTCCGTTAGCACGAACGTCGATGTCCACATCAGATGAGCTGCGAGCGATGCAACAATGTCCACCAAAGCATTTCCGGTTGCGCGGTACTGGTGACGGACGTTTTCATTGTTATACTGAACATCAGGCTGTTTGTCTCCTCGACACATGTCAATAGTGTCATGTCTCCTGTTCAGAGATTTGTATGTTGAACTCGAACCGCAATGATCGAGGGAAACGTTGTCGCTTTCGTTTTCTTCGGTATTGTTTGGAGCAACCCACTGCAGAATCGGAGTATTGTTGTATGGCAGCAATGAGAAGTTAAGTTTATAGTCGACATCCGCCAACAGCAAAACCATGTCAATATCATTGTCACGCATATCCTTCACTAACAAAAAGAAAAACAGAGAAAATAACAAGTTACAGAGGTTTGTCAACACATTACAATCTTAGTGACAACGCCTCACGAAAAAACAGTAAGACATCGTTCGTATCATTTTGAAGAAACTCAAACAATCTTTCAATATTTCAGCAAGGCAAAAGTCTTCCTATAGGAAGCAAATCAACCTAAAAATAATCAAAAGGAGATTAAACAATAGGACACAAGTTTAAACGTCTTAGTAGTATATTGTATATATTTTAGATGTTTTAACGGTTTTAATATATGCATAATGAATAGAATTGACTTTAGTTTATTCTCCAGCTATATGTTCTTGAACACGTGAAAAGTTTTGGAACGACCTCATAAATTTTAGTTTGCTAAATCATTAGCAATATTGGAAAACTGGTATTGTGGCAGAAGCGAGTTTGAATACTTGAGTCACTGGGTACTGATATGCGATATATCACGTGAAAAGGTCACATGTTCGTCTGCGTCTCAAATTTCAAATGTTAAAAGAAATAAGAATAGAGAATGGTTCGATTTATAGCTATATGAGGCTGTTATGGCGTATTACAATGCAACACCATAAACAGGTTTGATGAGCCGAGTCAGCCTCAATCTTCAGTGTGTTTTTTTCGTTTTCGCTATACATTTTTGTATAAATTATTTTTTTTCTCTGCCATAATGGCGTCATTGGTGTGGTAAGAAAAAAAAACAGATCAATATACCGGTAGTTAAGACGAGGTAAGTTTCTGATACGTCAACGTATGCCCAGGTAACCTTGGCTGATATGATGTTACTTATTCCTGACACGCTCTTGATGGTCGTCTCATTGTCACAGGAACCTTCACACGGCCCACTTACAACACCTAAACAGGTAAGCAATCAAGTAATACAAATTGTCAATAAAACAAATATGAATTGAAAGAAAATCACCTTCTGAAATATTATTAGATTCCTTCATGCTAATATGTTTAGAATAGGTAAATTTTGACCTCGGGATTTTTAAATGCAGCAGAACCCTCGGTGTTTTTTTTTTACAAATCCGAAAAACCCTCTGGTGAAAGTTCCCTATTCCACGCCCCTTTGCATGAAGGAGTATATTTCTTTCATTCCAACTACCAGATTAACCTCAGAAACCATGAAAATGCGTTTGGACTGGGACCATATTGAAAATATCAATTTTCGCCTGAGCGCTTGTAACGAAAACGAATATGTCAGAGAGATTAAGCATAATTTGTACTGTCAAATATCTTAAAGGATTTAATTTTATCACGTCGCCTTTTTCGCATTGCGGCACCGGCGTTTTCCAAATTCGTGAAATCAAGTCACTGTTGGGCCATTTTGACGTTACGTCCCGTGAAATTTGGTGTAAGATAGAAATATGTTACAGCTGTAACCCCTTTTGTACCCTAGACAGCTCTATCTTACACATACGGACATGAGAGAAATATTAATAATATTAGGGGTGTTCGTATGTCAAATGCAACATGGAATCAACGAGAAGGTTTATACTGCTTATAGAATAAATATGAGTCGAGGTAATACCGTAGGAAAAAAACATCAATACTGATAGCTCTGTTAGTAGTTCTCGGGGAACATAGTTGGTCGGGGAACATAGTTGGTTTCCATAATCCTGAGATTTAAGCTAGAAAGAATAAAAATTCCAGCAAGAGCTAGGTAAAATAAAGAAAATATCAAGTACATAACAGCGTCACACACACAATAATACTAAAATACACAAAAATCTGTACCACAACATCAACACACAAGGACAAAATAAACCATAGCATCAACTCACAAGCAAAACCAAAAGGACAAAATACACAGAACGACAATACATTAAAACAAAATATTACATAACTTAAATACATAGGGACTAGGTACCACAGTGCCTTCACACAGGGGGCAAAATTACCATAATATCATCATGATTGGTTTTGGTTTAGTTTAATTTTAATTAACGTCCTTATAAACAGCTAATGTAATTTAACGACGTGTCTCCATGTGTGTAGTGTATGCGTGCTTGCGTGTGTGTATGCAGGAGACGGGTTATGTTGGTTGCTTACCTCCGATCGAAACGTCGTCATAGAAAGTCAAAATATTACATAACTTAAAAAATGAAATAATGCTGATGATCACACAAAAAGCAAAAAACATACTATGGAGTCGTTACATCAAAACATAAAAGAAGATACAATCAATAAGATAAAATCATGAACAAAGGAGACAAAAACACACATCATGAAACTAACTATACTGCGTATGAGTGAACTTTTTATCTACTCCACATGCGGCGTCCTTTGTGATGTGCCTTGTCGAATATTGAATGTGTTTTCTAGTTCATTCATAAGCAAGGTCCTAGTTTAATTCCTCCCCATAGATATATGTTCAGGCACTCTGTACGCCTCAAGCCAATCGAACATGGCAACAGATAAACGTTTCTGCTACTAAGTGTGACACACGTCATGATATCTAGTGAAGTCTAGGAAGGTATTTAGGTAACCAAAGATCTACGTTGGTAACTTGGGTAAATTATATTTACATAAATATATTATATATAGGTTACGTTTCGCACAAAACGTATCGTCCCGTTAATTCGTGACCAGTATCAGTCGATTTTTTTAGCTATTGTTCAAAACTACTATTGATTACACAAATGTAATTAAGCTCGAATACATCCACATGAGCTATCTGGTAACGCCAGTCGACCATGACAATCGGATAAGGGTTTCATAGTAATATCCATTGATCTATGAACACACGCAATGTGTATGCTAGAGCGCGTTTTTAAAATCATGATTTTTAACCCAAAATTTGACCAACGCAAGTGGTATTTTTTTTCTTAAAACCTGTCTTAAATTAAATATCACCTACTCGGTAACAGAAATACTCACGTTTTAGCATTGGTCGTTCAACTAGACTTTTTGCAATATTTTTACAATATTTACACATGTGCTGAGTACAAGAATAGACTACATGAAAAGCTAGCTTTTGTTGTGTAGACAGGTTTGTAAATAGCCAAAAATTTAGTCTCAAGCCAAAATACGATTTTTTTTAAAATTTGAAGCCCACATAGTCCAATTCAACATGTATATGCCCATTTTAGAGCTGATTTTTTGTTTTTAAAATTTGATACATGTTATATTACAGGGGTTACTCATGGTTACTCATTGTACAAAAATATCACCCATGGCCACCGTACGCTACTGTACACTGCTACCTTACGTAGATGTTGTTGAACGGCGTTATCAAATTGTCTAATGGTTAACTTGCCAGTTCAGTGGCGTAACTATTTGTCAAAACGAATTATATACTCTCAAATCGAGTAAGTAATGATCGACTACAATAAGGTTAAGTTTATTAGAAATAGAGTTACCACATCGACAGCAAAAGGGATTAATATCATAGTTCATAAATGCATAGATCTTATACAGAAAGTAAACCGACGTGTTCCGGCAGGAAAAGCGTTTTCCGCAAAACTAGTGGCCCCTGTCAGAACGTCCCTCGTCAAAATTCCAGGAAGTCTTGTTTTAGGTCACCTACAAACTCAGACAAAGCGTACACGTCTTCATCACCGTTAACATTGACATGTCACAATCGTATGTAGTCATAGTTGAGTTTATTGAAACAAGCGAAATATGGTTCAAGCTGAACTCGTTTTACTTAGTATTACTGGTTTGATATTTGTTTGAATTGAAGGAGGAAAGATAATTACGTAAAACGTGTGTGCAATACACCCGGCCTGCATCAATAACATAATAAGTTTAATTTCAATTAACAACGAACAATCACAATAAACAATTTTGGCGTATCGCTTTTATTCTCACTGATGTTTTCTTCTTTATACATGTACACAATCGGTTCGGTTACGGTTGGTTTACCTGGTAATAGATGTTTGACAGTCTTGGAGCCAATCCAATCAATACTCATGATGTCATTAGTAAAGTATAAACAGATCTTGTGAGCAAGAGAATACGTTTCATAAAATTACATCACAAGCATGATGTACCTGCTGACTACTTAACTGACGAGCGCGCATCAAGGTGAACGAGCGTTCGATCCGACCGAATAACGTCACCTAACAAACTTGTGTCTGCCGATAGAAGGACACTATTTCAGATAAACTGTATTTATAAATGAATGGTTAGCAAAAATGAGGATAATGTCGTGTTGACCTTTAAACTTAACCATGCGTTGCAAGTTTGTCCGTTATCAAGGAAATCATAATATTGATGCAAGCATTTGCATACCAAATCATTCGCGATATGTAGAGGAGTAGAGGGAAGAACTGTTTTAAAGCAATATTTCACTGGAACCCATCTGGTATTGACCAGTTCTAAAGCGATACAAGGGGTCCACAGATCGGACCCTTGTACATCTTTGCTTGTCGATTGAATTGCCATTCCGTAAATTCAAAAAACAATATACGTTTTACTTCTTTTGATGAAGGTCTAATTATTGCAGCAGTGATGTTTTCAAGCGAATCAAGTTAGTATACCGCTGATGGTGCTTCATGAAATAAACTACCTTGATATATTTTATTCACCATTTGCTTTCTCTCTCTTGAGAGAAATTTACTCCTGTATAATGACAATGACACTATTGATCCGTGTGTTGAACAATGGCAATGTTCATATGTAGTGCAATGTGACTGGTAATGTACATATACTGTTTCTATAAATATTTGATATATTATTTAAATTCTAGTGATAAAGTTAGACAATGCGAACTAAAGCATGAATACACATTAACATTTGTATATACATAAACACGTCGTTCAGAATGTATTGAAACTCATATTTATTACTGTAGACCTGTTTCAATCGATTCGATTTTCAGACAAAATTCAGCGACTGAAAATAAACCTCTACAGATTGTAAATGATTGCGAACGTCATTAATAAACAAGAGGCCCATGGGCCTTAATGGTGACCTGATATATTTATACAGAGAGTTGATTTTGTTTTTAACATGAACAGAAATATTATCAAAGTGACAAAAAACAATAAAACCACCTTATACAATATCTAGCATACAGATTTCAGACTAAAAAGTATTTGAAACTAGCACCTCTGATTCTAAACAAGGAAAATGAAGAAATTTTAGCACACTGACTCCTTTGAGCCCCACCCTAAAGCCCTTGTGGGTAGGGCTGGCTCAAAATTTTCAAANTAAGACCCTTCAATCTATGAAGAGTATTTGATTCTACCCATATCTGGGTCTTGAGAAGAAGATTTTTGAAATTTCAGTAAATTCGACCCTTTTTGGCCCCACCCATCAGCCCCTGGGGGTCAGTCAGGGCTGATATGTGCTTATTATCAAACTGCTACCTGATAATGCTAACCCAAATTGAATTCCTTCCAATGGAAATTAAACAAATGTTGTTCCAAAATGTGATTTCCCTATATAAACTATAGTAAAGTTTACTCCCACCCCAGGGGAAAACGTGAGACCCCAGGGTCAAGAAATTCACAATTTTGGTAAAGCACCTTAAGACCCTTCAATCTATGATGAGAATTTGATTCTACCTTTATCTGGGTCTTGAGAAGAGCACCTTAAGACCCTTCCATATATGAAGAGTATTTGATTCTACCATATCTTGGTCTTGAGAAGAAGATTTTTGAAATTTTAGTCAATTTGACCATTTTTGGCCCCGCCCCTCAGGCCCCTGGGAGCTTGGGACTAAACCGGCCACTATTTTTGTTGACCTTTGTCCATGGAAGGTTCCTGCAAAATTTCATTGAAATTGGTTCAGGGGTTTTGGAGAAGAAGTCGAAAATGTAAATTGTTTCCGGACGCACGACGGACAAAAGGCGATCGCAATAGGTCACTTGAGACTGTCTCAGGTGACCTAAAAATACTTTCGT